GTTAGATGTTTATTGTAATCTTTGCAGTCTAGGCTTCTTTGTACCCATCCGTCTTGGAAACACTTTCCAGGTATTTGGAAGGACTTAGGTACTGTGATCTAAGCCCTGTTTTCACTGGGGGCACTCCAAGCCCAGTGATGCTGTGGTTCTTACTGACTTTTAGAGGTACCGCCTTGGTGGTTTTGGATAAGATCTGGAAGAATTCTCTGAATTATCAAACAGAGACTCTTGTCCTTTTCCCTTACTTTCTCCCAAGCAAATGGAGTCTCTCTCTCTGTGCTGAGACACCTGGAGCTTGAGGTGGAGTGACACAAACACACCTTTGGCCACCATAACTGGAACTGCACTGGGTTAGACCATAAGGGAGCACAGCACTAGGTTTTGCCTTAGGCTCACTGTAACTACCACTTTGCTACCACTTTTGCTCACTGAAGTCCCTGGGGCTGTACAATCAACAGGTGGTGAAGCCAGACAACCTTGTTTTTTTCTCTTCAGGGTGGTGAGCTCCCCCGACCCCAGATGGGTCTAGAAATGCCATTTAGGAGCCAAGGAGTAGAGTAAAAAAACCTTTAAAATCTACTTGATTTTCTACTGTACTTCTGCCGAGCTGGCTTTCAAATCATGTAACACAGTCCTTCTCACTATTTCCTCCCCTTTTCACTATTTCCTCCCCTTTTCACAGTCAGGGGAGCCTCACCCTATGGGCACCACCACCACAGGCTCATGGAGAGTACCGTTAGGCTTCCACCAATGTTCACTTAAAGCCCAAGGGTTCTTCAGTCAGCTTGTGGTGAATGTTGCCAAGCCTGGGACTCACTCTTCCAGCCTCCCCTCTGGCCCAGGGCAGGTCGAGAAATGCTGTTTAAGATCAAAGGCTTGCAATCAGGAACCTCAAGAGCCTGCCAGGTTTGCTACCCACTGTGGCCAACCTGATACCTAAGGTACAAGATGAAGTCCTTTATATTTTTCCCTCTGCTTTTCTCAAGCAGATAACGGCATCTTTCCATAGCCACCACAGCTGGGGGTGTGCTGTGCCTCACCTGAAACCAGCAAGTTTCAGTCTCACCCAAGGCTAATGGCATACTACCTAAGTACTATTGATGGTTATTCAGGGCCCAAGGGCTCTTTAGTCAGCAGGTGATGAGTCCTGCCATGACTGGGTCCTTTTCTTCAGGGCAGCATATTAGCTATGGCCCAGAGTGTGTCTAGAAATATCCAGGAGCTAAGGCATGGAATGGGGCTTAATGACTCTGATCAGTGCTCTATCCTATTGTACCTGAACTGGTATCCAATATGTAAGGCAAAGTTCACTTTACCCTTCCCTCTCCTCAAGTGGAAGGAAGGGGTCTCTTTTGGAGCTGTGAGCTGTGAAGCCTGGGTTTGGGGGAGAGAAAACACTCTGTTAGCTGCCCTGGCTGGTGTCTCAGTAGTTTGTGGGCCTTAGTAGGTTTTTTTTGTTAGTGCTTCAAGTTTCTTACAAAATCTGTTATCTTTCGTGACAGTGCCATTATTCTGTATCTGGCTCTAGTATCCTGAGAGCTGGCTTTGTGTCCAGCTCAACACTAGGACTCACCTAGGAATTGTAGTCTTTGTGGCGTAGACTTTATGTAGGGCCCCAGAGCACTTCAGCCCCCAGTGGCAAGGCTTCCTGAAACTCAAGTTCCAACTGCTAAGACAGGCAATTTCCCTGTATTTAGCTGGTCCAAATGCTCCCTCCATGGGCAAGCATTAGCTAAGTATAGCCTGGTTCTGTTTTCCACTCTGACAGAGCATCGTCGAGTTCAGTGCAAAGTCTCATAATCATTACACCGTTTCTTCCCAGCATACAGTGCCATGCAGCCACTTCTGGTGGGTAGGAAAGGAATGGCTATGGCAATTCAACACTGTTTCCTGGCCTTTCAGTACCTATTTCAGTATATGGAGTTGAATAGAGGTACTGTGATTGCTCACCTGATTTTTGGTTCTTATAAAGGTATGTTTTTGTATAGATGGTTGTTAAATTTGGTGTTGCTGTAGAGGGTAGGGAGAGCAGGTGATCTTCCCCAACCCTGAGAATAACCTACTTTATCTTTCTGGGTGGATAGTTCTCCTTAAAAATACCTTGTCCTGAACATTTTATGTTTATTTTAGTAATTGTCAACTGTATGACAATGAACAATTGTATAAAAAAGTGAACAATAGAGAATGATAAATCTATTTGGTCATTGTATAATGTGTGGGAATTTAGACTTACAAACCTGAAAGGCTTTCTGCTCGAAAGAGCTATGCCTGGGATTACTGGATCCAGAGTTTAACAATATGCACTCTGTTGATAGATACATTTTGATTGAACCTTCAGAGGCAAAATTTGGGGTGCCTTAGTGAGAGTGAAGAGGAGGTTTCATGCAAAGCACACGCATACTTTTCTAAGTGTTGCCCAGCTGCTAATGAATAAGGTTCACTCCTGGTGTCTGACCTATTTTCTCCTTCCATGACTTGCAGATGATTTTTTCCTTTATGGGTTTATTAAAAGCAAAAGTAATAATCCCAGGATAGGCAAAGTTATGGCATGGTAACAAATTATCCTAATTTGCTTAACCTAACAAAATTTTTATTTTTCACTCATGCCAACTGTCTAATGTAGATTGGTGGAAGGTCTACAGTCATAGTCACTAAGGGACTCAGGCCAATGAAGACCTCATCTCAACACCTGCCCTATGGTTTCTGTGGCAGAGGGAGAGGATGAAAGTAAATCATGCATTGTCTCTTAAGCTTCTATTCAGCAGTAAACCTATCGTTTCTATTCGCATACCATTAATGACAGAAGTCATATTGTCATACTTTACTTCAGAGGAGATGTGAACATGCAGTCCTACCATTTGCCTTGAAAAAGAGGAGCTGGAAATTTTGGGTAAATAACTCTTATGGCCACTATCTCACTTATTCACCAAGAAGAAAAGATTTCTTATTTTTAAACAAAAAGAAACGTTACAAGATTTCTGTACACATTAGTTGTTACATGATGTCTCTACTGATTTTTTGGTTAGTGTTTCAGGTTTCTTACAAAATCTGTCATCTTTCATGACAGTATCATTATTCTGTGTCTGGCTCTAGTCTCCAGAGAGCAGCAGAAAATATTCTTCTGATAAGGTTACATATACAGATAAAGTCCCTGACTCCAGAAACTCTAGCCACATTCTTTAGTGTAATTTAGTTTTCCAGTTTCTGTGTGACTGGGGAAAGACACATTCAAATATGTTCAACATATGCTTGGCCTTGTGTCATAAGATATAATTTCTATTTCAATGTTACAGTGGCAAATTTGTCATTTGACTGGACTTCAATGGCTGCTGCAATGTTATCCTTATTGGCATCCCAAGAGGCATGGAAGATAATTAAGTTGCAGGAGTCAAGATTTATATGTTATCTAAGAAACTAGGGTGAAAGGAAGTTATAAAAACATGAACCATTTCTCTGTTCTTTGTCTATTATTCTAAATCTCCTGGCTAAAAATCTACATGTGATTTTTTTTTCGTGCCAAACAATAGGCAGTCACAAAGCTGCCCTCCTCATGCCACTCTTGGTGCAGCAAATGCAATCTCTGAAGGGGGTTGCAGTTGAGGACTCAGGCTTTTTGGTTGACTTTGCTCCTATGCATATCATCATTCCTAGATCAGATGCCACCATTTGGAGGCTTCTTTATAGGAGGACTTCCTCAGGTGCCTCTGCTGAGACCTCCTTATTAAAGAGCTGAAGAATGAAACTTGAAGAGACTTTTCTCCACCCTAACTCAATATTCAGGACTTTTCCACTCCCAACCCTTTCCCCTTTCCCTTTCCTTTGCCCCAGGATCCATAAAACCCCAAGATCCTTTTATTGGAATCTCCTTCAAGAGTGAGCCAGATACCATGTCTATGCTAGTCCTGCTAATCCTTGACTGGTGCTGGTCCATGGGAAAAAATTGATCAGGAGGAGTCAGCATTTTCTTCAGGTTAGTCTCTTGCTTATGCTATCCCTATAAATGATAAAAGGGTTCACTGTTACTATCATTTTTGCTTCTTGCCTAATTGGCTGCTCTGACACCTGGCAGCTTAGCTCTGTCTAGGTCAGCTGAGCTCCTTACAATTCTACAAGGAGTAACTCAGGAATCCAAGATGTTTCCATCTTGAAGCTACACTATCTGGAGCATGTGTTTCCAGTGTCACTGAAACAGAAAGACTGAGAGTAGGGAACTGTGCAAATAAATTAATAGTCAAGCCTAGAAGTGGTGTGTAGCACATTCATTCATATTTCATTGGTCAGAACTCAGTCACATGTTTCCAATCCAATAGCAAGGCAGGTTGGAAAAGTAGTCTTCTTGTGTATACAGGAAGAGAAAACACATTTTTTTTGTGAATATTGAGCCAATTTCTGTCTGTAATGTCATCATTTGTTGGATATATATATGTGTTGTGGAGGGTAAGTTTTTCATAAGTTTTGCAGACTTGTAGGAGATATGATTACAGGGTCTGATGCCCAGGTGTTATATGGAGCACGAGGAATGAATGAGGTAAAGTAAAGACTGAAGATTTAGTGGCATTGAATGACACATCTTAGGGGATAATGGTATTAACTTTCCTAGTCTAGAAAGAACTTCTGGATATTTTTGAAAACTCCTCCACCCACCAATACTTCTAAATTTAATTCCTCTGTATCAGCTGCACAACTCCAGGTTTATGATTCAGCTTAGACTATTAAACTTTCTATCTACCACCCCTTCTATAAAAACAAAAGGCTTAAATCAGTGATTTTCTTCCCCTACCAGCCTGGAAGGTACAATTGGTCATTTCATGGGCACTCAAGGAATGTCTGGCCTACCTCATAGTGATCTGTCTGTAGTGAACATATAATGCATGCAAGTATAGTCCTAACTCATCTTCATCATCATGAAATTCTAGATGTTTCAGCATAGTTTTAAGGAACAGTGTCAGCATATGTTCTTGATTCCCAAATTATACAGCTTTGTTTTTGTCAAATTACAGGTACAGTTATGAAATATCTAGAAGTCATCCATTCTTGTATAGACTCACTCTGCTGACATGTTTACTTGCTAGGAAACAGCTGTTTGGTCTTGTTGCTAAGAAGAAAAGAAGACAGAATGCCTCTAGATAAAGGAATACTATTCCTATGTCAACTTGCTATGCAAAGTGTGGACTGTGGACCAGAAGCATGTGCATCATCTGGCAGCTTGTTGGAAATGCAGAATCTGAAGCCTTTCTCTAGACTACTAAATAGACTTAACATTAACAGTGTACCTGGACAAGTTATATGGTCATTAAAATTTGAGAAATATGATCTAGCATAGATATTACTTCATAATAATGGTTCAGTGTTTCAGTTACTATTGCTACATAGCAAAACATTCCAAAATTTTGTGACTTAAAATGACAACTACCATTTTATTGTGAGGAATTCATGAAAGGCTCCTTTGGGTGTTTGGCTTATGATTTTTCATATGGCTGCAGTCAGACAATGTCTGGATCTGGGACTCTGGAAGATTGAAGCACCTGGGCACTAGTCTGACATCTTTTTTCCTTCTTGTATAATTCAAAGCCTCTCTATGTAATCTTTCTGTTAGACTAGTTTGGTCTTTCTCACAGCCTATTAGCCTGAGGTCATTCAGACTGTTTACACATGGCCAATGGCTTCAAAAAGGAGTACTCAAGTGGATGGAGCACAAGTTGCTTTTTTTTTTTGATGTAGCCTCAGAAGTCACTTCTGCCATGCTCTATTGGTTGAAACATAGTAAAACATCATCAATTTGAGGGAGACAGTATATGCATCTTTCCTCTTCATGGGAGAACTGTCAAAGTCTCATTGTAAGAAGAGCATAGGAGACATTGTTGTAGCCACCTTTGGAAAATACAACTGATGCACTTAATATTTATCACTATTGCCTTTACTCCTTTATTGTGTAGATGTAAATCAGTGATTAGTTCTAGGCTAAAAGTACGTTTTGGCATGCTCAATAGCCATCTTTACTTTACAGGAGGAGGTAAGGTGCCAGGTAGGTTTCCCAAAAGGCATGCTGAAAATTACTAGGAGTTTGATAAGGATTCTGATGAATTCCTCAAGGCTAAATGCAGTGCTAAATTTTTTCCTTATCATCTTCTTTGGTCTTCTCAGAAATCATCTCATCTTCCTCCAAAGCCCATTAGAATATTGCCTATATAAAAAATTGAGTTCTTCTTATCATAAATTAAATATTGTATCTAAAGAGTGTCTGGAATATGTAACATACTCGATGATTGTAGGTGTTTTCATTAAAGCTCTTTATATATATTTCTTACCTCCTTCTCCTTTCTTTTCCTGGCAAACTGCAATTCCTTTAGAAGTCAATTCTGAATTCCTAAGCAGAACAGTCATATATTTTTTTTCAGTTTCATACTAATTTAAACCCCCAAATCAGTGTTCATGCACAGGCTTATATACCATTACCTGGCATTTCTAAAGAATGAAGGCTTTTTTTCGTTTTTATGGAGGTGAACTATCTAGATAACTTATACTCACTATTTTAAGTTACAAGGTTTTCTTAGTCTAACTTTTTTCAGTGGAATTTTTTTGCTAAATGTGTACTATGTGCCTATAATGCTAAGCATAAGCAGATGCTCATAAGCAAAGGGTTCTTCTTTTCCCCCACTTTTTGTTGTTTATAGCTTTGCTGCTTCCAGGGTGTCTGTACCTACTGGCATTTGTTCCTTTCTCAGAGAAAATTATATAATTGATTGTGTAAAAATTTTATCTATGGACAGAGAATGTGACCTATAAGGGAAAGCCTCAGAGAGTATCTTGAGAAGAAGTGAATACACTTGCTGATATTTGATTTTGAATGATTATACAGCAAAATAATAATAATAAATAAAATATAATTAAATTGTTCTTAATAATATTTATTAAAAAAACCTATTATTATCATGCCAGTTTTGTGGTTTGAATATTACATTTGTATACATTTTCTAACTTGCTCTTGAAAATCTCACTGTAAGGTACAGTTACTCATAGTGAAAATAATTTATGGCCAATATAATGTTTTTAATAACAATATAGAGTTGTTCTGAAATTTTATTTATTTATTTATCTTTGAGACAGAGTCTGGCTCTATTGTCCAGGCTGGAGTACAGTGGCATGATCTCGGCTCACTGCAATCTCTGCCTCCTGGGTTCAAGTGATTCTCCTGCCTCAGCCTCCTGAGTAGTGTGGATTACAGGAATGTGCCATAATGCCCATATATATATATAAACATATATAAATTTTGAAGGCTGGTCAGCATTACATTTCATTGCTTCTCTAAGCAACTTAACTTCTTTTGTTTTTAAATTTACCTTGTATTTTAAGTTCAGGGGTACATGTGCATCCAGTTGCCTAACTAATGCACACACTCTGCCTTATCAGTCCCAACCTGATGCTGTAATGTAGCTTCAATGTATCACTCTCAGATTTAGGTCTTTATCCTATTCTTCTTTCCTGAGCCTTCAGTTTATACCCACAACTGCTTAGAGATATGTAGATGCCGCATAGAAGTCTTAAATATCTTTAAGCTCTATATTTCAACAGCAAACTCTTTTGATTTGCTTTTTAGCCACCCTCCTCAAACCTATTCTTTTCTCTTGAGTACCAATTTCAATAAACTGTGCACAACCAACCCAGTCTCCTACATTATTTTAGATTCATTTTCATCACTCCCTTTTATTTCCAAACTAATTGCTGTTTATTAAAATTTTCAATTCTATTTTTCAGCAGTGCTTAAGTCTATCCAGACATTGATTTGGTTCAAACCACACCATTTTCCAGGTAATTTTTCTCAGTAGCCTCTAAATACCTTTATGCCATTTCTCAAATGTCATGTTATATCTCTAAAACTCTTTATATATAAGGATGAATAATTCTAAATGCCCTTCTTCTTCTTCAGCTGTTTCAAATTAACTTTTATGTGCTCTTTAACATTCAAATTGTTCAAGAGCTTCATGGTTACCTCCATTCAGTCTGGATTGCCAATCCCTCTTTTTTCTTCTAAACCATTATATGTGTGCTTTTCTTACAACTTCTATTTATAATGTATTATAATTGGTATTGTTTAACTGTTTCACTCTCCAACTGTGTTTCTAAATGTAGAGACTAGCTTATTCACACACATACACAATTATTTATGTGTATATGTATATAAGTAAATATGGAAGTGTAGTAGCAATATATAGTAAATTAACAAATACTTATGTGGTTCAGAGATGAAATGCTTCCAGAAATGTGATCTTAAAAAACGACAGAGCTCTGGCTGGCATCTGGTGGGTGTCTCTCTGGGATGAAGCTTCCAGAGGAAGGAACAGACAGCAATCTTTGCAGTTCTGCAGCCTCCACTGGTAATATCCAAGCAAACAGGGTCTGGAGTGAACCTCCAGCAAACTCCAGCAGACCTGAAGCAGAGGGACCAGACTATTAGAAGGAAAACTAACAAACAGAAAGGAATAGTGTCAACATCAACAAAAAGGACATCCACACAGAAATCCCATCCAAAAATCACCAAAATCAAAGACCAAAGGTAGATAAAGCCACAAAGATGAGGAAAAACCAGTGTAAAAAGGCTGAAAATTCAAAAAATGAGAATGCCTTTTCTCCTCCAAAGAATCATAACTCCTTGCCAGCAAGGGAATGAAACTAGATGGAGAATGAATTTGATGAATTGACAGAAGTAGGCTTCAGCAGGTGGGCAATAAACTTTTCTGAGCTAAAGGAGCATGTTCTAACCTAATAGAAGGAAGCTAAGAACCTTGAAAAATAATTAGAAAAAGTGCTAACTAGAATAACCAGTGTAGAGGTTATAAATGACCTGATGGAGCTGAAAAACACAGCACAAGAACTTTATGAAGCAAACAGATGCTTCAATAGCCAAAAAGATGAGGTGGAAGAAAGGATATCAGAGATTAAAGATCAACTTAATGAAATGCAGCATGAAGACAAGATTAGAGAAAAAGGGATTAAAAGAAATAAACAAACCCTCCACGATATATGAGACTATGTGAAAAGAACAAACCTATGTTTGATTGGTATACCTGAGAGTGATGGGAGAATGGAAACAAGTTGGAAAACACTCTTCAGGATATTATCCAGGAGAACTTCCCCAACTTAGCAAGACAAGTCAACATTCAAATTCAGGAAATACAGAGAACACCACAAAGGTACACCTTGAGAAGAGCAACCCCAAGACACATAATTGTCAGATTCACCAAGGTTGAAAAGAAAGAAAAAAATGTTAAGGGCAGCCAGAGAGAAAGGTTTGTTTACCCACAAACGGAAGCCCATCAGACTAACAGTGGATCTGTTGGCAGAAACCCTACCAGCTAGAAGAGAGTAAAGGTCAATTCAATATTCTTAAAGAAAAATACTTTCAACCAGAGTTTCATATCTGACCAAACTAAGCTTCATAGGTGAAGGAGAAATAAAATCCCTTATAGACAAGCAAATGCTGAGAGATTTTGTCACCACTAGGCCTGCTTTATAAACAGCTCCTGAAGGAAGAACTAAACATGGACAGGAGAAACCAGTACCAGCCACTGCAAAAACATACCAAATTGTAGAGACCATCAACACTACAAAGAAACTGCATCAACTAACAGGCAAAATAACCAGCTAGCATCATAATGACAGGATCAGATTCACACATAACAATGCTAACCTTAAATGAAAATGGACTAAATGCACCAATTAAAAGGCACAGACTGGCAAATTGTATAAACAGTCAAGACCTATCAGTGTGCTGTATTCAGAAGACACATCTCATGTGCAAAGACACACATAGGCTCAAAAGAAAGGGATGGAGGAAGATTTACTAAGCAAATAGAAAAAAAAAAAAAAGCAGGGGTTGCAATCCTAGTCTCTGTTGAAACAGACTTTAAATCAACAAAGATAAAAAAATAAGGGCATTACAGAATGGTAAAGGGATCAATGCCCCAAGAAGAGCTGACTATCCTAAATATATATCCACCCAATACAGGAGCACCTATATTTATAAAGCAAGTTTTTAGAGACCTACAAAGAGACTTAGACACCCGCATAATAATAGTGGGAGATTTTAATGTCTCACTATCAATGTCTCACAGGTCAACAAGACAGAAAATTAACAAGGATATTCAGGACTGGAGCTCATCTCTGGACCAAGCAGACCTAATAGACATCTACAGAACTTTCCACCCAAATCAACAGAATATACATCTTTCTCACCACCATATCACACTTATTCTAATATTGACCACATAATTGGAAGTACAACATTATGCAGCAAATGCAAAAGAATGGAAATTATAACGAACAGTCTCTCAAACCACAGTGCCATCAAATTAGACCTCAGGATTAAGGAGCTCACTCAAAACTGCACAACTACATGGAAACTGAACAACCTGCTCCTAAATGACTACTGGATAAATAAGGAAATTAAGGCAGAAATAAATAAGTTCTTTGAAAAGAATGAGAACAAAGATATAACATACCAGAATTTCTGGGACATAGCTAAAGCAGTGTATAGAGGGAAATTTATAGCACTAAATGCCAATAGGAGAAAGCAGGAAAGATCTGAAATCAACACCCCAAAATGGCAATTAAAAGAACTAGAGAAGCAAGAGAAAACAAATTCAAAAGCTAGCAGAAGACAAGAAATAACTAAGATCAGAACAGAACTGAGGAGATAGAGACACGAAAAACCCTTCAAAAAATCAATGAATCCAGAAGATGGTTTTTTGAAAAGATCAACAAAATAGATAGACCATTAGCCAGATTAATAAAGGAGAAAAGAGAGAAGAATCAAATAGACACAATAAGAAAAGATAACAGGTATATCACCACTGATCCCACAGAAATACAAACTACCATCAGAGAATACTAAAAACACATCTATCCAAATAAACTAGAAAATCTAGAAAAAAAAATGGATAAATTGCTGGACACATATACCCTCCCAAGCCTAAACCAGAAAGAAGTGAATCCCTGAATAAACCAATAACAAGTTCTGAAATGGAGGCAGTAATTAATACCCTGCCAACCAAGCCAGGACTAGACGGATTTGCAACTGAATTCCACCAGTGTACAAAGAGGAGCTGGTACCATTTCTTCTGAAACTATTCCAAACTATTCCCAACTCATCTTATAAGGCCAGGATCATTCTGATACCAAAACCTGCCTGAGACACAACAAAAGAATAACATTTCAGGCCAATATCCCTGATGAACGTCGATGCAAAAATCCTCAATAGGATACTGGCAAACCAAAGCTAGCAGCACATCAAAAAGTTTATC